CTGAAAGCCGGGCGGTTCTGTGCTGTCGGCGGCAGGGAGTACCTGACCGGCTTCCACAAGCGGAAGGTGGAGCGGAGGAAGGCGGCGCTGGAGGAGATCAAACGGAAGCTGAAGGAAGAAGAGAGGAAAATTAAGGAGGAGGTGAGGGAAGGGTCTCGTGTCCCCCCTCGCAGGCGGGCAGTGAGCGGGGCAGGAGGGGCGGGCAGAGACGCCCCATGACCTGTTTCCCTTCCTCAGCGGCACCAGGAGTACCTGAAGATGCTGAGCGAGAGGGAGGAGGCGCTCGGTACGTGCTGGGCCCCCGGTGGGGAGGGCGGTGGGCACCCGTGGGCCGGCAGCCTTGAGTGAGTGTTGCGGGGTGGGGCGGGGATGCTCGCACACTGTCCCACAGCAACAGCTGCTCGGTCCTGTCGTGTTCCCCAGACAACCTGGGCAGAAATCTGAGCGGTGACACCACAGCCCTCTGTCCCGACAATCATGGAGGTCGTACACAAAGGAAGGAGCAGGAGAACATCTCCAAGGTGTCACCAGGGTCCCTCAGGGGGCAGAAGCAGCTTGCCCTCCAGGCTTGCAGTGCCAAGGCCCTCTGCCCTTTATCCCTGCATGCCAAGGCCGGGTGTCACCCCATGTCACCCAGCCCAGCATGGTGCATCAGGAGCAAGTGAGTTTATCCCGTGAAAAGTTGGGCACTTTGCAGTGTAGGATTTCTTGTGTTCCCAGAGGAGGCCGATGAACTGGAGCACTTGGTGACATCGCGAACGGAGTCTGTGAACATCGACCACCCAAACCACATCGTAACAGTGACCACCATCAGCGACCTGGACCTCTCGGGGGCACGCCAGCTGGGACTGAGCAGCCCCCTGGTAAAGACTCTTGCCTCCTCTCTGTATCACCTGTACACGCTCCTGGGGCTGGTGAGGTAGGGCTGGTGGTCCCTGAGTGTGTCCAAGGCCTTGCCACTGGCTGGGAACAGGGATGAAAAGGGGAACTTGTAACTTTTCTATTTTTCCACAATTTAAACTGGACCTCTAAGGAGAAGGAAATGTTCTGTATGAATAGCTCACTCCACACCTCTCTGGAACCCTTTGCTAGTCCTGACTGACCCTGGTTAAATGAAAGTCTTACTGGACTGGATTGCAACAGTGTAATACTTTAAAGGCTGATACAAGACAAGCAGCAAGATTTCAGACATTGCCAAATGGTCTATCCTTGACCTCTTTTCTGTGTCGCGGTCAGAAATATTACTGTTAGCATGAGGAGGCATTTTTCTTTCCATAATCTCGTGCTTGGACCACAAATAAGGAAACCATTCAGTTCTGTTTGTGGTCACTTTTATTCTCAAGATATGTAGTAACTAAGAGCTTGTATTTCTTTCAGAGAGACTCTCGGGTGTTGGTTGTACTTATATTTGTAAGGTCATCTAATCTGAAAGTCTACTCAGAGATGTCTTGGTAGTAATTTAAGCAAAAGCCAAGACCTTTGGTTCATTCAAATTTAAACTTCAATTGCATGGCTGTTAAGATCGTGCTGAAAATTTGGATCTTGGGGTGGATTACTGTAGAACATCTCTGTGCCTTTCAGTGGGACTGAAATAGGAAACCTTGACACTTGGACAGTGAAGGGTGTGCAGAATTAAGAAATCTTCATCTGTGACTAGTTAGTTCACAACACAGGATGAAACCAAGAAGGCAGTAGAAACACCAGAATCACAAAAGTGCTTTATTTTTAAGGGAAAAACTGATGGATCTGAAGAAGAGAAAGGGGAAGAGGTGGAGAACAAGCCTGTGAGAACAATGCCCAAGAAGTCCAGAAACCCCTTCCTGTCTGAAAAGTAGGTACAGATTCCCTCAGGCCTTCCCTGCTGGGCCCTGGGAGCCGCTGGGAGTGCTGTGTTCCGGGGC